GGAGGGAGGGAGGGAGGGAGGGAGGGAGAGAGGAGCTTGGAGCCTTCAGAGTTTGTTTCCAAACCAGTGTGTCTTAGCCTTTATCAAAGTCACTCAACCTCTTGTTGTTTACCATAAAACTTCAGTGACAGTCATATAAAACGACAGTCAATAAAACATTGCTCTGTGGGTTGAAAGTTGAACAATTTGTGCTTAAATCAAAGTCATATGACTGGCTTTTTGCATTTGTACGGAAAGCAAAATTAATTTCCATTGGTTAAAATGAAATAGAAAAACCAAAAAAAACCCCAACAAAACAACACTCGACAGACACCCGATTTTTAAATAATTTTTTTGGGGTGTGGGGGATGGATAGGCTATTAATTGGGGTACATAGTGTGGTGTTTGACCTACCGTCAGCCGGGGCTACTTAGGCCACTCGGGGTAACATAAGCCACTTACAATAAGTTACAAAGAACGGTCTGTACAAAGGAACAGATTTAAACGTGCAGCCATCATTGTGTTCAGCAGGCCAACTCCAAGCCAGATTTATTCGAGAGGTATAACCAGTTGTAGATGTCTTGTACAATGCCAGGTTGGCTAATTGATTATACCACACATAGAGGTAAAATTTCATACAAGCAGTATGTTGTGTGTACTCACTCGTAAATAAATACCAAAAACACATCTCTTCTTAAAATCAGAGGCTGGTTTAAGCATAACGCAATAATTGGGAGGCAGCGCGGTGGAATCAGGCTCTCGTCAAAATAATCAAAGTGAAGAAACTTGCATTTTTCCGCAAGTTTGTGAAATTTTATCAAATCTTTGTCTTTTGGCTCAGCATCTTTCATCCCCATTAAAAAACTCATTTCTGTGTGGATTTTTCTGAAAAGCGTTGATTAAAGGCACAAAAATGTAAATTTTCAGTTACCTCGGACTCTTAAGCTTAGAAAATAACTAATCTTTGACGGCCATTTTTTCACTAATTTAACCTCTGAAAACAAGTGACCCCCACCTCCTTCTTTCGCAAATATCTCCACTTGTATTGAAGATAAATGGATATTTTTTAAATCCAAATAAAGACAAGTGAACAAGCTTTAAGGTGATACCCATAACTCTACAGGCCCAAAAATTCACGAGAGCCTGATTCCACCACGCAGCCTCACAATTAACTTATTGATGTCACTGGAAAAAAACCCAACAACAACCTCCAAAACATACTTACTGATTTCTCCGTAAACCACGTATCTCAGGGTGTCCACCACAGGCTGGGGGGGAGACAGAAGAAAAAACAAGTCAGAAAATTGTGAAATCCTGTCGTGAGTCTTCAAGAGGAAATACGACTATAACATGACTTCAGTGCTTTCTTGTCGTGTCTCCACTTTTTTTAACAGTGAAAATGTGACTTCTTCTTAAAGCTCACTCACTGTTAAGAACCGTTTTCATCGTTATTAAAAAATAGAGATACGACAAGAAAGCACAGAGGTCGCGATAAATGAATACTTTAACATCAGCTGTTTTTACACAAAGTGTCGCATGAAAAGAAAGGTATCTCTTTGACAAGTCTTATCACCTCCACACATGCTTTCAACGGTAGTGTGGACATTTGTTCCTTTGTGTGTGTGTGTGTGTGTGTGTGTGTGTGTGTG